ACAACACGCTCTCAGCCTCTTCCAGCTTGTCACTACCATAGGGGTGGCGGTGCACCGGAGAAGGGGTGGCGATGCCCCCAGGGCAGCACCCCGAGTCCGGTTTCATCTCCATTTCTTCACCTTTTTCAACATATTTGTAAATGTGCTAACACCACTAAGTGTTCACCAACTTGTGCATGTATGTTAGCTTTTCACATATATTTTTCAAAGGATTAGCACTCTTTTCTCATCGCAACTCGATCCTAACACATATGCAAAGTTAGATCGCTCAAGTGGCACTAGATGACCGATATACAAACAAGTTTGCTCCTCTTGATAGTACGACCATCTATCCTAAACCCGGTCATGAACTTCTCTACACACCTATGACCGGTGAAATGAAATGCCCTATAAATATACCTTTGCCTTGCGCATTCCATTCCATCTTCTCCGATGTTGATGCAACACATGCACCAACCAATCATAAATGATATGATCCACTTCATATCATCACATGACCGTATTAGTTCATCGATCTTCACTTCACTTGCTCTTCACCGTTGCCTTTGTCCATCGGCGCCAAGTCTTGCTCAAGCTTCACCACCACGCGGTCCATCGCTCCAAAGCCTCCAACTTGCCCTTCACGCTTGCAACCGGTCCATCAAGCCAAGTCTTGTCTTGATCTTCTCCACTTTAGTCACATGACTCCATGTCATGTCTCATATGCAATGAGCTCCTTCATCATATGTGTGAGTTTTGCAATATCTCCGAGCCATTTTCACCTCTATGGCATATGTTGCTCACACACATGTACATGTGGACTAATCATCTGTGTATCTCACATTAAACACAATTAGTCCAGTTATGTTGTCACTCAATTACCAAAACCAAACAAGGACCTTTCAGCTGTGTTCGTGTGAATTGGTGGCCACCTCTCTCAGATCTTTATGTTCTATTTCAACTGTATGTGCTGCTATAATTCATATCTGTATGTTCTATGTATGAATTGTTCTTTCAATGTCCACCATTATTTAGACATCTATTTTTTGGAGTTTTTTTATGTATCAGCTGTGTCCAGTTGAACTAAAATCATTGTTGTAGTGTGCTTAAAACCCAATTCTACCAATGTTTAATTGAAAACCCATTGCACAGCATCTGTTTTCATGATTTTGAATATGAGAGCTGAGATTGGGAGGTTCTCATTTTAGCTGTTAGAACACACTTTCTTTCTGTGAAATAGCAAGTGGCATCCTCTTGCTATTGTGGTGATTGGGTTAGAAATGCGTTTAGAATAAGAATTGTTTTAGCAGGAAGTGATCGGTGGTACCTTATCTCATGTGCTTTGCTCTCAATTTGTTTCACAACAATTTGATTTGGCTGCAAGGATGGGTCTGTGCCACACTGCCACCTAGAGCAGAGCTTATTGTTATTTCTTTTGTTAGCTACGTTACAAGCATCCTTTAGTATTCGAGGTGAGCTTAGAGTGGAGGTGCTCAGTTTAGGTGTTGGAATACTCTTCCTTTCAGCAAAATAGCAAGTGGCATCCTTTTTCTACTTTTAGGCGCAAGGATTGCTGCCACATAGAATCGAGCTAAATGTAGTATTGCTTATTTGTTTGTTTTGTCAATGGTTTCTATTATCGTAATTTAACTATTTAAAAAGTTATCCGGGTTTGCTATTAGAACACGCACTTAGAGTGAACTAGAAAATATTGACATCGTTTTGGTATTTTTGGGATTCCTCTCTACTGCTTGTGTTCACTAGCTGCTAGAAAAGCCTTTCTCTGCTAGCTCTGTTTGTGTATTAGAAGTGAGCTTAGATGGGAATGTTCTTAATTTAGCTGTTATCATGCTTTGCCTTTTAGCGAAATAGTAAGTGGGTTCCATTTGCTATTATTAGGTGGAGTGGCATCGATTTCACCAAAACCGTAGTATTGTTTCTTTTTCTTTCTATTTTTTCATGGGTTCCTGTTTTGGTGATTTTGACTATTATAAATGCGGTTAGAATGGTAGTTGATTGGTTTTACTGTTACATTAGCGTTGTTTGTGTATTAGAAGTGAGCAGACTGGAATGTTCTTTATTTTCCGTGAAATAGCAAGTGGCATCAATTTCAGCAAAAATGTAGTATTACGTTCTTTGTTTTATCATGATGTCTTGGTTTCCTGTTTGGTGATTTTGAGTATTAGAAATGTGGTTAGCATGAGCAGTGCATGTTTTTTCTGTTTTATTAGCTGCTAGAACAATCTTTCTGCTAGCGCTGTTTGTGTGTTAGAAGCGAGCTTAGACTGAAAGGTTCTTAATTTAGCTGTTGTAATGCTCTTTCTTCTGTAAAATAGCAAGTGACATCCATTTGGTACTGTTGGCTGCAAGTGGCATCCATTTCAGCGGACTATTCCCTTTTTTTCTGTTCTGCATGGTTTCTTTTTTTGCAATTTGTCCATTAGAATTGCTGTTAGAATGATAGATGTTTCATTTTTCTGTACACTTGCACTTTCAGCGAATTGGAAAGTAGTGACATCCTTTTGCTACTTTGGGCATCCCCTCTACTGTTTTTGTTCATTTATATGTTATAAGAGCTGTTTGCGAACAAACCACAGCTCTCCGGGTAGCTCAGCTGTTATGTATGATGCACAAGTGAATACTACAGGCAGCAAGCAACCAGACCAACTTAATGGCATCTCAGCCAGTTTAGGGTTGTCATTGTTTTCGCTTTAGGGTTGTTTGAATATTTTGCCCCTTGTTAGCAGCTTATTTTCAATTTTTTTTGTTTTTTTTTAATTTATCCTCCCAATTGGAAGCTTGTTGTATTGTTTTGTTGTTGCTTTGGGGTTCTTTTTTTTAAATTTATCCTCCCAATTTGAAGCTTGTTGTATTGTATTGTTGTCTGATTATTGGGGGTTGTCGTTGTTTTTGCTTTAGGGTTGTTTGAAAATTTTGCCCCTGGTTGGCAGCTTATTTTGTTTTATTGCTGTTTTTTGTGCTTATTTTTAAAATTTCCCCCCACTTGGCAGCTTGTTTTATTGTATTGTTGTTCTTTTTGGGGTTCTTTTTTTAATGGGAAAATGGTGTTCTTGCCCCTTACACAGATGTGCGATTGTGATTTTGCCCTCGTTTTTCTAACTTTGTGATTTTGCCCTTCACTATTCACAAGTCAACGCGATTTTGCCCCTGGTCTTCACGAATTTGCCCCTGTTTTGACCGTTGACTAGGGGCAAAATCACGTTGACTTGTAAACAGTGAAGGGCAAAATCACAAAGTTAGAAAACGAGGACAAAATCATAATTTCACATCAAAGTAGGGGCAAGAAAACAAGAGCCCCTTTTTAATTTATCCTCCCAATTGGAAGCTCGTTGTATTGTTTTGTTGTTGCTTTGGGGTTCTTTTTTTGTAATTTGTGCTCCCAATTGGAAGCTTGTTGTATTGTATTGTTGTTTAATTATTGGGGTATGCTTTTAAATTTGATCCCTAGTTCATAGCTTGTTTTGTTTTAGGGTTGTTTTTATAATTCGGTGCCTAGTAGCAGATTTTTGTTGTTGTTTTTATTAAGTTTGACCCTTAATTGATAGCCCTTTTTATGTTGTTAGTGTTTTTTTTATAATTTGACCTCCAATTGACAATTTTGTTGTTGTTGTTTGGGTTGTTTAATCTCTAGAAAGATAGAGAGGATATGGTTGAATTTGTGAGGAATACCGCTACAGAGTTCAAGGAGTACTATATTCATTGTGTTTTTCTTTTCTTTGAACATTGCTCTTCTAGTAATGCAACGTAATAGAAAGTCTGTATTATTAATTTTGTTTGCATTGTTTCATTACATTGAGTTATTGACCTTGATCATGCTTTTGATACAATGAACAACACGAGTGATTATGTTGGGTTACAACTGCACTGATGAGAAGGAACTTGAGGATGCCTTGGGTTTGGTTGTGGCATGGGCGGTGGCTTGGGGTGCTAGGCGCATTGGCTTTGTGCGCAGGGTTCGAGCAAGCATTTCGCATGGATGTGGAGGTCAGATTTGTGTGTTGATTTGCTGCTTTGGTTTCTGTCCTTGTTGATGTTTGTTCGATTAGAGATCTGCATTATAGGATGGTCAATCCCCTGTCCTAGTATGCGGCCCTGTATATGGTCCTGTAGGCTAATAGCTTGAACTATAGCATCTATGGCTGCCCTACGGTATCTCAACTGTAGCTTGAACTATAGCATCTATGGCTATAATTATGGAGTAATGATCTTTGTATATATGACACGTTTGCAGCTTGCCAGATGCCAGCGATGAACCTTGTATGTTTTCAGAGCTCATTGCAGATCTCTCTGGCCTGACATGACATGGTTGGTCGTGGTGTGGCCTGATGTTGTGTTTTTTTCCTGTTATGGTTACCACCTGTACCTAAACCTGCACTTGCAGAGTGGGTTATGAGATTTGCAATTTTTGGCCTTTCTAAATTTAATGTCTTTTATTTTTCAAACAATCCTGTCTAGCCCAGTTGTTGTTGATTTTTTTTTTGAGTGGAGCCCTGTTATTGTTGATCATCATGCTTGTTAGACAACAATAAAAATAACAGCGCGATACATATTTAGACGGGCCAATTGGGCTTCATGAAGCCTGCGAACTTGACCTTTCCACCTAGGCAACCGGCCCACAAAAGCAACAAAACTACAAAAGATAAGAAGGCGTCAGATTAAAATTCAATGGTTCAAAATTTGTGTGCTGCAACGTGTTGAAACACTCGAATCTTTTGCTATGCCTGCATTGGTTGTTTTCCTGTGCTGTAATCATACGGTTGTTGGAAGTCTACAAAACAACTATGACAGGTAACTCAGAAACACAGCTGACGAGGGGTGTTTTCTAAACCTAGTGTATCAACAAGATGGAGAATCGTTGTGCGTAGCCAAAAACCAAAGAGAACAACCTAACACTAACAGAAACCTAAATATTGACGGGTACATCAAAAGTGAACACTTAAACAATGATGGGCCAACAACACCCGAAACAACCACACAGATAAAAAAAAGTGTCGAATAACTTAGCACCAGAAGTGGATGAACGGCAAGTCGGCGGCGGAGGACCTCTTGAAGTTAGGGTGCTCCACCAGGCTCTCCCTGAACACATGCCGTGACACGAGAACGTTGTTCCTCGGCGTGGCCACGGAGTGGACAGCCCTAATCGTCTTCATCCTCACGTTGTACACCAACAAACCGCAGTGGCTGCCCAGCATGATGTTCCCTTGGTCGTCACACGCCGCGGCCGTAGACCACAAATTCGATGAGTAATGCGATATTGATTGCCACGGCGTCGGAACTTGGTGGCGGCGTTCCCACCTCCCGGCGCCGTAGTCGACGAGGAACCAGAGGTCGACGTGCTTCGCAGCCCCGAAGTTGGCCGCCACGAGCAGCCCGTGCATGACGAACAGCTTCATCAGCGGGTGGGTGATTGTCCGCGGCCCCGCCATCAGGCGGAACTTCTCTGACTGCACGTCGAACGCCACCATCTCCGTCGTCGTCTCTTGTTTGGACGACAAGTCCCGAGGACGACGTGGCGGCCAGTGCATGCTGTCGTGAAGGGCCACTGGTGTCGTCTCCGACGGTGTGTCCGGCTCCAGGCCAGCGTCCGCGGCGTGTGTGTCTACATGCCGAGGCTCGGCGGCACCGGTGGAGAGGATGCACCACGTCCGGCCGGCGGACGTAAGGCGGCCGCACAAGAGCCGGTACTCGCCGGACTGCTGGTGGAAGTAGAAAGCATACTCTCTAACGTTGACGGTGCGGCGGCGGCGGCCATAGCTTTCATCAGTGAGCTTGGGGAGCTCGGCCCACTGCCTCGTGACGGGGTTGCAGAGGAAGTAGATGCCCGCCGCATCCTTCCTGAATAGGAGGACGCCGTTGCACGAGTCGAGTAGGAGGGGATCCATGGAAGACAAAGGCACGGACCTGGGGTACCGGATGAGACGCCGCTGGTCCGCCGTCTCGCCGGAGACAGGGAGCACGTCCAGCGCGATGTCGACAGCATAGCCGCGTTGCACCGAGTCCAGGTACGTGTACAAGACAACCTTAGCAGGCTGTCGGCGCGCGTTGGCGGCGAGGAAGAGCGGGCGGGTTGTGATGTCGCGCCACGCCTTGCAGACGACGCGGAAGCGGAGGACGGACTTGACCGGCAGGCGGACGAGGATCTCCGCGCAGATGTCATCGGAGAGATGAGGCGGCGTGGCGGCGAGTTGCGCCTCCATCCTTAAACTATGTTGCCGCATCAACATCTTGCTGGCTCGGATATATTATATGTAGTATATATATGTATAAGCGTAAGTGTTTGATCGAACGCCGGATGTTCAAGCGTAATGAGCAATGATTCTCTTGCTGGCTGCAAGCCTGCAACCGTGACGTGAAGCACTACAACTAGTAATCTTCAAGCGTGCGTTTGGAAGCTTAGAGCACTCGAGCAACCAGAGGAGAAAAACAATTCCCTTTCCTAAAACTGTCATATAGAGGAATACTGGAATAGGATGGAAAAAACTGCTACAACAAATCTCTCTTTCTTATAATTTATGGCCCCGTTCGCCGGAGGAATCTGAATGAATCTAGAGAAATTTGTGAGAGAAACCATCCGTAAACAGTAAAACCCCTTTGTGAACAGTGCTTCCTCCATACTAGCCGAACGAGGCCTATATATGGTAGCGTGCCCGTGCGTTGCTATGGGACAACAAAACTTTTATACTAAAAACACGGATCGTACGATAAGATAAGGTAACAAAGCGTAGATGTGGTATGTTTAAGATTCTACCAAAATCTTCTCTGCAGCTAGCAAGCATGAGATGACCTATACCATCTGCAACTTAACCCATCAATGGCAATATTTCTTCTGGTTCCTATCAGTGAATATATGAGCTATTATTTCTCATCCCAACTCTTATCATTTGCTCAGGATCAACAAGAACAAAATTTAATATCTAAGAAATCAAGCAAGGATGGGAAGAACATCCCACATTGATCAGTTGCTGGGTGGAAATAAAACAAACTGATGTGCACCTATGTTATATCCGAAATCAGAATTGTTCAATGCTGAAATAGGTGGAAATGAAGCAACTGCTCCTCGCTGCAATATCCAGCTTAAACTGTTATGTACCTTCCTCAAACCTGTGCTTGCCGGTCAAAATTGGCCCAGCCCCTCCCCTCCCCTACAACAAAAATTACAAAATAGCACAACTCATAATGTTGTAGACAAGACCTGCATTATCGGCATCACTGACAATAGGAAAAGATATCATTGTTGGGTCCGAAAAAGACTATGATACAGTTTAAAAATCAGTTATTGTAAATTGCAAGACAAAATAAGCTAGATCAGCATGGGAGCCAATAAACCAACCCTATAGTGCAGTGCCGCCTCAAAGTTTGATTGTGAAGTTTTATTTGCAAACTGTACTGCAAGGCATCACCTGTAATACGAACAAGAGTTCAGAGGTTTAACGGATTCCTTACAATTGAAATGAACAAAAACAGAACCCACATTCATTTCCTTGTTCTAAAGTTGTACAGGTTTAGCTAGTTGTTGGCAGAAAAAGAAAATGCAGATACAGTGTCAGTATACATAGAGACAGATCAGTTAGCATCTCTTTTTTGCCCCCTTGTAAAAGTACTTGTACCAAAGTAATACTGCGGGGTAAAATTAGTATGGCTTCCCATGCAAGATAAAGGAAGCCAAGACTTCCCCCAATCATGTAAAATAACCAAAAAATAGTAATAGATATATTCAAGTTCAGAGGCAAGCACATCTATATGGTAAAATAACCAAAAAATAGTAGCATGTCCGTGCTAACACTACGATAAAAACCAAAAGACGGTATTTTTCTATACACACGCCCTCCCTAGCTCTCCCTTCCGCACGGCCGCTCTCGGCCCAGGATGGTCCAGATGCTAGGCTGTAAATCCAGCCCAACAAAATCTAATATTACAATGGCAGAGCCACAATGCAGAATGAGCATACAATCGTATCACCATTATTTTTTTCTCAAAAATTTAAATATTACCGGTGATGGCATAGTAAAACGATTCCAGTGCATGATGAATAAACGAGCTAACTCAAGTAAGAAAACCACAGAGACAGCGCTAACTGCTAACATCAGTGACAATTACCAATGACGGCTGAATGCACTTTCTCTGCAATTATAATAAAAACTATGAATCCCATGCTATTAACAAAAGAAAACCCTGCCAAACTATTTGTCTAGCGGGATTCACAAATGTGCAGTATATGTGCCAAAAAAAGAAACATAACGGATGCCACAATCCAATTTTTTTCGTTAATAAATATGCATGTTGTAATTACTCAAACAAAAAATTATCAAGTATTATCTGGGTGCCATCCGAGAATGGCTTGAGGTCAGCTCTAGAAGCGAGGTCATGAAAACATTCAGGGTCTGAGATATCTTGGTTAACTCCACATTGTTGCATGAGTTAAAAAAATGTGAGAAGTAGGCCAGAAGGATAATTTGTGTACCTTTCATGACATGCACCAAAAAATCCATTCAGAGTGCAAACAGCCATGAACCCAACATTATAATCTATATGAGAAAAAATATATGAGAATGTGTGTGGAAGGCCAGAAGTGATCAAATTATGGAGCACTAATGTAGCTACAGGAAACATCTTTTTTTTTGTTAGTGAGCTAAATAGAGCGTGTCAATAGGAATTTTATACTATTGGTTATACTAAATGTCTTAATAGTTTGCAGTAGATCCATATTTCTAGTAACATGGCTCACTTTTAGCAAACATTTAGAGAACCAATTACAGTTAGTGGGGAACACTTGTAACAAAAAAAAAATTCAGAAAAGAAGTTTAACCAACCAGCCCAAATTCATTCAGGAGCCACTGCCAACAGGAATACAAAAGGCTAAGTTGTAAGTTTAGAATTAATTTGTTGCATTAAAAAAAGTTCAAAACTAATTTACTCACCTCCCATATTTACTTAATAGGTTCTCAATGTCAGTTTGCCATGTATGATGGGCAATGTAGCAGACGAATAACTTGGTGTTACTAACTTGTTGACCAGATGGATCATATCGACATATTTTGTGCTGCAAGACAAAGAAAAGGTCAAGATACCCGCACAGAGGATATTTGTGCAAGAGCTAAAAGATATGCAAATAGAGTTGATACATGATACGTCAATTAATTGGTCTACCTTTATGAAAGTTCTAGTTTGGTTTTGGTGAATTAATAAAACCCTTGGTGCTAACCTAGTTTATCAAAGTGATCATGAGATAGGTAGCACTATTCCAAGTGGTGAAACAATGGTGAAGATCATGATGATGGTGTGACCATGGTGATGATCAAGTGCTTGGACTTGGAAAAGAAGAAAGAGAAAAACAAAAAGCTCAAGGCAAAGGTGATATCCATAGGAGCTTTTTGGTTTAATGATCGAAACACTTAGCGAGTGTGATCACATTTAGAATCGATAGCCGTACTATTAAGAGGGATGAAACTCATATCGAAATGCGGTTATCAAAGTGCCACTAGATGCTCTAACTCATTGTATATGCATTTAGATCTAGTGGAGAGCTAACACCCTTGATAATGTTCGTGAAAATATGCCAACACACATGCACAAGGTGATACACTCGGTGGTTGGTACATTTGATCAAGGGTGAGAGAAGTTGGTGAAGTGGAGGAGCTGTCTTTCACTGATCGGACACTGGTTTCTATGTGACCGGACTTAGCCGGGTGCGTTCGGTCAGCTCTGGATAGTGAAGTGCTCAGCTTAGTGAGTGACCGAACGCTGGGTCAAAATGTGATCTGACACGAGAGGCTGACGTACGGTGAAGTAAGCAGCTGAGAGAGTGCGGTGAAGACCTGACGCTGCCGTGCGTCCGCTCATGGGAAACCAGACGCGTCTGGTCACTGTTTGGAAGTGATCTGATGCCGGGCAGCCATAGGGAGCAGCGCGTCCGGTCAAGGCTTGGCCTTGGCGAGCACGAAGGAGAACTGGCGCGATCGGCGCGTCCGGTCGTCTCTTAGGCTCTGGCGCGGCACAAGTCGACCGTTGGAATCGGGTGATCGCGGTTGAACCGTAGTGACACGTAGCGAACATCCAAGGACCGGACGTAGGCCTAGGTACGTCCGATCGCCCCGACCTGCGCATCCGGTCGATGCGCAGTGGGCTGCTCTGTGAGCCCAACGGCTCTATTTTGATGGAGCCTCTATATAAGGTGTTTGGCCGGCTCAAGCTCACCCTCTTGGCCATTTGCATTGACATAGCAACCTTGTGAGCTTGGCCAAAGTTCTCCCACTTATCTCCATCATTGATTCACCATCTTTGTGAGATTGAGAGAGAATCCAAGTGCATTGCTTGAGTGATTGCATCTAGACACTTGGTGTTCATGTTTCACTGCGGGATTCGCTTGTTACTCTTGGTGGTTGCCGCCATCTAGACGGCTTAGAGCAGCGAGGATCATCGAGCGGAGGAAGGTGCTTGTCTCCGGCTCTGATCGTGGTGATTGTGAGAGGTTCTTGACCTTTCACCGGCGGAGAGCCAAAAGGTACTCTAGTGGATTGCTCGTGGCTTATGTGATCCTCATCTTGTGTTGGTTGTGCGGCACTCGGTTGCGGGTTTGACGCGTGATGCCAACTAGCGCGTGAACCTCCAAGTGAGTGAATCGCCACAACGAGGACTAGCATGCCAGCAAGCAAGTGAACCTCGGTAAAAATCGTGTGTCATCATTGTCCGAGGATTTCTTGGTATTCATTGTGGTTGATTGTGATCATCTTGTGATTGGCTCACTCATCGACATGTCGGTATAATCATCACCATCCCCTCTTGTATTTACATTCCTAGTGTGTAAGCTAAGCTCTTTAGTGTAATTAGTTTTGAGAGCTAGCTTGCGTCAGGTCTAGTGGTTAGTGAGGCTCTTTAGTTAGTCTTTGAGAGCTCACTAACTTAGTATAGTGACATAGCCACTGTGTCGATAAAGACTATAGCAACTAGAATTATGGTAGGTGGCTTGCATTTTTAGTAGGCTAGCGCAACACTCGCTTCGCCATTTATTTGACTAACCACATTGCTTAAGTGTTGTTGTAGAAATTTTTATAAGCTATTCACTCCCCTCTAGCCATTAGGATGTTTCACTTTACCAAATCATGTTGCTCCTATTCAAGTTCCATATATAACACACATGAATAAATTACTTCTAATGAAATATTTCGTAATAGTCAAGATTGATTTAGGATGATGTTTC